ACGTCATTAGTCGGAATCCTAGCGTGCGTGTGGCCACTGCAGCAGTGTGAATTGAAGACGCAGCCGTGACTCCCAGCTTGCTGGTGTCTAGCTGAATGTTCTGCTGTCTGGAGAGTGTGGTTTATTAGTTATTCACCGATCAAGGACAGACTGCTTGCTTCCTAGCAGTTCTAAGGGAAGTTGCTACAGCCGTCTGCGCGCAGGTTTTTGTGCAAATGTTCAGAGAGCATGACTACTGAGCTGGTTTACTTTATAATAAACTGCTAATTGGTCTTGCCTGTACGTCCTGTGCATTTTGCCTTCCCACGAGCAATGCTGGGCGTTCCTGTTGCTCGTGGCCCTTGCCAGCATTCAGTGTTGTCCATGTGCGCGATTTTGGTCTATTAGAACCTATCTATTAGAATCTATCTATTAGAATATAGATGTGTAGGGGCTTATTTTGATGCGTGTGTGTGTTTGGGGGGGGGAGGAGAGGGAGAGAGGGAGGAAAGGAGAGAGAGAGAATATTGGGGCTTAAACTCAGGGCCTGGGTGCTGTTTCTGAACTCTTTTGTGTGTGTGTGTGTGTGTGTGTGTGTGTGTGTCAGTCATGGGGCCTGAACTCTGGGCCTGGGCGCTGTCCCTGAGCTCTTCAGCTCAAGGCGAGCACGCTACCACTTAAGCCACAGGGCCACTTCCAGCTTTTTCTACTTATGTGGTGCTGAGGAATTGAACCCAGGGCCTCATGCATGCAAGGCAAGCGCTCTACCACTGAGCCACCTTCCCAGCCCTAGAAGCTGACATTTTTGTTTGTTTGTTTATTGTGCCAGAATCCTGGGGCTTGAACTCAGGGCCTGGGCACTACCTCTGAGTTTTTTTCGCTCAAAGCAAATGCTCTACCACTTGAGCCACACCTCCACTTCCAGCTTATGCTGGTTAATTGGAGATAAGAGTCTCAGGGACCTTCCTGCTTAGGCTGGCTTCCACTGTGATCCTCAGATCTCAGCTTTCTGAGTAGCTAGATTACCTGGCATAATTAGGCTCTTGAGATGAAATCAACCTGACTCACTGTCCTTCTCACTTGTTTTTTCCCTTCTTTGATTCCTTCAGCCTCAGACTCTGGAGGCGGCCATCTTAGCACTTGCTTTGAATGTCCCACTCTATTTAAAAAAACCAAGGAGCCTCGTTAGCGCAGTAGGTAGCGTGTCAGTCTCATAAAAAGATCAGGGGTCACCTCTATCTTTCCAGGTATGGTGGTGTAAGTCCCCTGAGGAAGGTATTCCTGTATCTCATGGTGTATATCAATTTCGTGATTTCAAAAGAATGACAACTCAATCTGAATAGGCAGCATTCAGAATGATTTTATCTCTTTTTCTCAATTTCCCTTCCCCCCACTCCCCAGGCCAGATTTCGTATGCCTAAGGAGCAACTGGAGCTTTTAAAGTGAGTTTTTCTGCTGTGTATCACCCTATAGTATGGTCAAACATGCTGAAATGGTTTGATAAAACTATAAAACCCAAGTGGTTTCTCTATAGTAGAGTTGATTGCTCTTTTGTGTTACTTACGGGCCATTTTCTCTTGTCCTCCTTAAAAATGCAAATCTGCTTAAAATAGCACATATAGCTGGGCATGGTAGTATGTAACTATAATCCCAGCACTGGTGTTGTTAAGGCAGGAGGATTATAACTTTGAGGATTATTTAGCAAGTGCCCGGCTATATATAAGATTCTGTCTCAAAGATTAAAGTAATTAATGAATTACTTAATTAAGTAAAAATAGCAGAGATATGTATACACACATGTATGTGTGTACGTGTGTGTGTGTGTGTGTGTGTGTGTGTATTATGTATTCACCCCAGTTAAGACAAGTTAGAACCAGCTCTGTGTTCCTTTGCTTCTTTTCTTTGGCCATAATGGCATTTACTGTCTTTCCTTTATTCTTTGTTTTGAAATGCACAGAAACCAGATACTTTCTTTTATCTTGTGATTCTCCATGAACAGGAAGGAAAGCCAGACTTTGGAGAATAATTTCCGTGAAATCCTGTCTTTAATTGAACAAATTGATGTTCTGAAGGCATTGCTTAGAGATATGAAGGATAGCTCACAGAATTATAGCTGGGCTAGTGCTGGAGATGCCTTACAAGAACAGGACAGCCCTGAAGTGCTGGATGAGGCAAGTGGGCAGGCTGTGGGAGGGGGGATGGCATGGGGATGGGGTGGCCTTGTGTGCCAGTCCCATTCTTTTGTCTGTGTGCAAAACGGAGTCCTCACTGCTGAGTGGCTCCAGACTTCTTTGAAATGCTTCCTTTCTTTCACTGGAGCTTGCCCTGGAGACTCACTCCTTCTTCAGACTGTGCCACAGAGATGACTCTGCATCCCCAAAGGACTTACTTTCCACAAAAGGTATAGTGCTTCTGTCCTCAGCTTTGGCACCAGCCGTGGAAGAGGAGTTTTAGGTTGTGGAGTGGGTTTTTCAGGGTAGAGAAAAGCAAGGACCATGCATTAGGCTAAACTCACATTAATGAAGAATCTTTTTCTCCAAGGGCCATTTGTATACTTATCATTTGATGGCCATTATCAGTACAGCTGGGCACCAGTGGCTCACACCTGTAATCTTAACTACTCAGAAGGTGAGAGCTGAGAATCACAGTTCAAAGCCAGCCTGGACAAGAAACTCCAAGAAACTTATCTCTAAATAACTATCAAAAAGCTGGAAATGGGGCTGTGGCTCAAAGTGGTAGAATACTAGCCTTGAGTACAAAAGCTCAGGGACAGCACCCAGGCCCTGAGTTCTAGCACCAGGACTGGCACACACACACACACACACACACACACACACACACACACACACACACACATCAATATGGGCAGACAGCCCCAGGAAACCATATAAAAAACACATGCAGTTTGAAGACTGCAGTTCAAAGCCAGTCTAGGAAGAAACGTTTGCCTCTTATCTCCTACTATCCGGCATAAAGCTAGAAGTGAAAGTATGCCTCAATGGGTAGAGTACCAGCCATGAGCAAAAAAGCTAAGGAAGAGCAGGCAGCTCTGAATTCAAGCCTCAGTATCACTATTCACACACAAAAAAGAACCTGATGTTATTTAAATAGATTAAAAAATAACCTCTTCCCTCGTTCCTTCTGCCCTCACTCCTTCCCTTTCTTTCTCTCTCCCTTCCTCCCCCCTCTTTTTCATGGTACTAGATGTTGAACTCAGGGCCTGTGTGCGCTCTGAGTTATCACTGTGGTGCAGTGGTTAGGGTTTTGGAAGAGGCAGCCAGGCCCACTGTGCGAGGCAGCTGGCAGAGACGTGGTTTCCTCCTGTGTTCCGACACTACCGTGAAAGGGACACTCCAAACAGGCAGAGTAGCAAGTTAGGCATAGCAGGGGAAGCACTGAAACTGTTATTTTGCCAATTGCATTGGGCCTAAGTCCAAGTCAACAAAGCAAGTGGTCAAAAACCAAAGCAATGGTTAGAAAAATTGTTACCTGAAAACTGCTCTGGTAATTATTGCAGGAAATGTCAAACTTGGTACATTACGTACTTAAGAAGCTGAGAGAAGACCAAGTTCAGATGGCTGATTATGCCCTAAAGTCAGCTGGTGAGTATGGAGAAATGAAAAGATGACTGGCAAAACACATTTCAGAAAGGACACATCAAAGTGGATTACAATTTTTATTAGGAAAAGATGTTCCTCCGTAGGGTAGCCAGAGGAGCAAATCTATATGACAAAGAACTTAGACATGGTTGTTGATGTTGCTGCTGCTGCTGCTGGTGGTGGTGGTGATGCGTGTGTGTAGGCCTGTTCTGGGACATGATCTCAGGGCCTGGGTGCTGTCCCTTAGTTTTGTCACTCTACCACCTGAGCCACACCTCCTGCTTTTTGCTGGTTAATTGGGACGATAAGACTTTCCTGCTTGAGTTAGCTTCAAACTGCTATCCACAGATCTCAGCCCCCTGAGTAGCTAGGATTACAGGTGTGAGCCACCAGATAGCAATGGTTGTCTTGATTGATTTTTGAATATAAATTTCAGAGAATAAAAATTTGCAACTTCAATGTTGACTTAAATGACAAAGAAAGCTGAGACACAGAATGAAGTTTGGGGAAGGCAGAAAATAGTTTAAGCATAGCAGACTTGACCACATTTTTTATTACATACAACAAATCTCACACATTATTAGTGATCAAATGGCAGGGTTTAAAGGCCACTTACTATTCTAAATATTTTCCAATTTAATTTAATTTTAATATTCAAATCACCCTGTCTTGGTCTATAAGCAAGATGTGTTTAATGAGCGGTGTGAAAGGAAAGAGTCAGGGAGAGTATGAAAGAGAACTTAGGGGAAAAAATGAACTAATTTCTTGACTATATAAAAATAAGCAAAGAAATTGAATATATCCTAAAATCCCTTTAAAAAGGAAATTCTAAGCTAGGTACCATGAGTTACATCTGTAATCTTAGCTACTAAGGAGGCTGAGACATGAAAGATGGAAGTTCAAAGTAAGCAAGGCAGAAAAGTCTATAGGACTCTTATCTTTAATCAACCAGCAAAATGCCACATTTCAGGCATAACTCAACTAGTACAGTGCCAGCTGTGAGCAAAACAGCCAGGTGAGTTGGTGGCCCTGAGTTCAAGTTCTGATTCTGGCAAAAAAAAAAAAAGCCAGGCACCAGTAGCTATAATCCTAGCTACTTAGGAGACAGAAAACTGAGAATCATAATTTGAAGCCAGCCTGGGCAGGAAAGACTATGAGATCTTATTTCCAATTAACCACTCAAAAACTGGAAATGGCACTGTGGGTCAAGGTGGGAGAGTGCTGCCTTGAGCTACAGAGCTCAAGGACAGTGCCTAGGCCCTGAGTTCAAGCCCCACAACCTACAAAAAAAAAAAGGAAGTTCCAGGGCTATGGCTATGGCTTTAGTAGTACAGTACTTGTCTAGCATACACAACACCCTGAATTTGATCTCAAGCACTGCATTTATAAGTAAAAACAAAAACAAATGTACTTATTGTCTTACCTGTATAACTGTGTAACCCCCCAGCTCATTACCTTTTCAATTAAAAAATAGTGTATATACTTACATATTTCTATATTTGTAAGTATAAAAATTAAATAGAAATCTCAAAGCTTAGATGTTTCATTGCTCTTTTTAGTTTTAATAAATAAACTAATTCATTTAGTGCCAGTACTAGGGCTTGAATTTACAAGCTTGAACTTTTTTTATTTTTATTTTTTTGTGGCCAGTCCTGGGGCCTGACCTCAGGGCCTGGGCTCTGTCCCTAAGCCTCTCTGTGCTCAAGGCCGGCACTCTACCACTTGAGCCACAGCACCACTTCCAGCTTTTTCTGTATATATGGTACTGAGGAATCGAACCCAGGGCTTCATGCATGCCAGGCAAGCACTCTACCACTAAGTCACATTCCCGGGTCCCACTTATACTCAAACTTGTCACTATACCACTAGCGCCACATCATATTTTCAAGTTGTTGCTCTTTAATTGGAGATGTTTATTAGCTTTGTCTGCCCGGGCTGTCTTCCAACCACAATCCTGAGAGCTCAGCCTTCTGAGTAGTTAGGATTATAGGTATGTGCCACTGACACACCCTATCATTATTTAATTTCTTTGTCATGAATTGGTGCCAGAAATTTTGTGAAAATACACAAAGCAAACAGGACTTCAAAATGATTACATTGCAGAAGAAATGAAATTTGACATACTTTTTCTACCTTTTTCTGAGTATGAATTTTACTTTGCTTTGTAAGTTTTCCCATAATAGGTTTCAAAGGTCATCATTAATTGCAAATGATATGTGTTGAACTGTGCTTGTTCTTTATTTAAAAAAATATTTTGTAATTTTAGGAGCCTCTATCATTGAAGAAGGGACCTCAGAAAGTTACAAAAACAATAAGGCAAAACTGTATTGGCATGGGATAGGGTTCCTAAATTATGAGATGCCTCCTGATACCATTCTCCAGGTAATTGTGATTGATATTTTCTAATTTGTGATTGATAATTTCTAATTTGATCACGAAAATATGAATGTTTAAAATGGAGGCAATATAAGAATACTCAAACTTGTTACCCAACCTGAGATCTCCTTACCTGACTTAATTATTCCACTGCACAAATTATTTGTGTTGGTACATATTGTCTATTAGTAGTTATAAGATGAGGTTTCAATCCAACATGTCAATTTGTGAGTACAATCCATCCTGACCAGTGTCGCCCCTTCCATTCTGCTCCCTTAGTTGGGATAGATACATCCCCTCAAGTCACTTGATTCATGTTCACATATGTACCCTGAATAGCACCACTGCATTTGCCCATCCTTCCTCTCTACATTCCTCTGCCTCCATTTCCCTTCAGTTCTACCCTCCTCAGACAAAACATGTTTTAGTTTCCTGGTATGCATTTTGTTAAACTGGACATTAATTGTTCAAAGGAGTTACACCATTGGAGTCCACCCCTGTGCCCTGTTGTATTCCATATTTTAGTCAACTTGTTTGTGTAGATATGCATATGGTCCTAAATACATTTTTGTATAAATTGTAATCAGTAAATCATGGTTGATTCATTTATTATTATATATTCTTTAAAAATCAGTAAACTATGGGCTTGGAATGTGGCTTAGTGGTAGAGAGCTTGCCTAGTATGCATGAAGCCCTGGGTTCAAGTCCTCAGTACCACATAAATAGAAAAAGCTGGAAGTATCACTGTGGCTCAAGTGATAGAGTGCTAGCCTTAAGCAAAAAGAAGCTCAGGGATAGAGCTTAGACCCAGAGTTCAAGCCCAAGGACTGTCAAAAATCAATCAAACAAACAAACATCTATAAGTTGTTTTCTGGCTTCTCTTTTCTATTAAAAATCTCAATCATCCATCAAATAATTGTGAAAGTGCTTGTCCTATAAGTACCAATACAAGCTGATTGCTATTAAGTCCAATTATAACAGAAGAAAGCTCCAAATAAGATTTCCATATAACCTTTTAGTTCCATTGCAAAAGTAAGAGATATTTACAGATGGTAGAGCACATCCTATGATCTGCTGTCTGACATTGGCATTAAACCCAAAATTCGTAGCAGGCTATATTTTAGATTTAGAAATCACAAACCTCATTTTTCTTTTAAACTACCAGGACCAATATTGCCATTATCATCATCCCTCCAACCACTACCATTATCACTACCACCACTACCACTCATAACTACCAATACCACCACTATCATTACCACCACCATCATCACTACCACCACCATTATCACCACCACCATCACTACCATCACCATAACAACCACTCTGCCACTACTACTACTACTACCACAACCACTACCACCAATCCCAACACCATCACTGCTACCACTATCAACTTTACAACCACTATCAGAACCACTAGAAGTACCATCACCACTACTGCTACCATCACTGCCAGCACCGCCACTATCAATAAAAACCATCATCATAACCACCACCATCACCACTACTACCATGACTATAGCCATCATCACCACCATCACCATCACTACTACTATCACCACCAACATAACTACCACATCACCACTGCCATAACCACAATCACAACTACCACAGGCCCACTTCCATTATGCCTTCACCAGCATACTCAGCACAACCACCACCAGATCTTCTAGCTGCCTTCCAGCAGTCCACAGTCCAATAGAGCAGTGACAGGATATCTGCTCATGTGATAAAGGGCTCTGGTTGACAGAAGCATGAAGTTCTTGGAACAACCACTACGCCTAGGAGTATTTGGGAAATTTACCTACCTTTAACCATAGACATGATAGAGATAGACAGTCAGTAGGAATTGAGGTATGGGTGGGTTTATATACCCAGAGAAGAGATTAATTCCATGATTTCTTTGCAGCCAGATGTACACCCTGGAAAGTGCTGGGCTTTTGCAGGTTCCAAGGGTCATATCCTAATCAAGCTTGCCAGGAAGATTGTACCAACAGCAGTTACCATGGAGCACATATCAGAGAAGGTGTCGCCCTCAGGAAACATCTCCAGTGCACCCAAGGAGTTTTCAGTCTATGTGAGAAGCCATCTACATGTCATTCAGAGTGGCTAGAAATTAGGAGCTAGACTCTCAGCTTGATTGTACAGCTAACTAGTTGGGCTTTTGTTGAGAGAGGTGAGCAGGGAGCCAGTGGCTCACATCTGTAATTGTAACAGTTGGAAGATTTCAGTTGGAAGCCAGCTTGGGAAGGAAAACCCATGAGACAATCATCTCCAGGGCTGGGAATGTGGCTTGATGGTAGAGTGTTTGCCTAGCATGCATGAAGCACTGGGTTCTTCAGTACCACATAAACAGAAAAATCCAGAAGTGGCGCTGTGGCCACTAGTGGCCACTAGCAGAGTGCTAGTCTTGAGCAAAAAAGCTTAGGGACAGTGCCCAGGCCCTGAGTTCAAGCCCTTGAGTTCAAGCCCCATGACTGGCAAAAACAAAAACAAACAAAAGTCATCTCCAATTCAATACCAAGAAAATAAAAGCCGGAAGTGGAGGTGTGGCTCAAGTGGTAGAGTGCTAGCCTTCAGCAAAAAAAAAAAAAAAAGCTCAGGGACAGCATCCAAGCCCGGAGTTCAAGTCCCAGGATAAGAGAGCAAGGGAGAGAGGGAGTGAAGGGGAGAGAAGAAGAGAGAGAGGAAAGAAAGCAGAGAAAGAAAGCAGAGAGAGGGAAGGAAAAGTAGAAAGGGAGAGAGGGGAGACAGAAAGGGGGAGGTGATTCATATGGTCTAATTTTAGCTTTTTTTTTACTTATACACACACGGCTGAAAAGTTAGATATTTCCATAGACTTTGTAACAGACTGTCCCACCTATTCCCATCTGCAATTCTTCTTAAGCTTCCAAATTCAATGACTTTAGTTATTGCTTTAGGGGTTTGCCTCCAGAGTCCTTTAAACCCTCTTGCTTGGTTCTTCAGTCTGGGTTATTATCTGATGATATCCTCCAATAGGATGAAGGATTCTTCTATCTTCTCAATAGCTTTTGATGTTACTGAAAAAATAGGGTTATGTAGATGTAATTCATATCATCTTTAGCCCATTAATTTGAGATTCACGTTTATGTGGTTTTTAGTATCTATGACCTCACTCACCTTTGCAATATCTTTACTCTTCCCCAAATAAATCCACAGCTCTTCAGCAGTGCCTTCTTTTTTCTTCCACCACACCTCCAGGCCCTGGCAATCACTACCTCCCTTTACAGATATTCCGAACATTTTATGTAAACATGTAAGATATAGTCTTTCATGAATTTTGTGTGTGCCAGTACTGGGGCTTGAACTCAGGCCTATCTAAGGCTATCCCTTAGATTTTTTTCAAAGAAGACTGCTATTCTAACACTTGAACCACAGATTCACTTCTTTTTTTGGGGGGGTCTGGTCGTGGGGCCTGAACTCTGGGCCTGGGTGCTGTCCCTCAGCTCTTCAGCTCAAGGCCAATGGCTCTACCACTTGAGCCACAGTGCCACTTCCGGCTTTTTTCTTTATGTGGTGCTGAGGAATCGAACCCAGGGCCTCAGGCATGCAAGACAAGCACTCTACCACTGAGCCACCTTCCCAGCCCCCAGAGCCACCTTCCCAGCCCCCAGATTCACTTCTTAGCCTTTTGGTGGTTAGTTAGAGGACAGAGTCTCACAAACTGCTGCTCAGGCTGGCTTTGAACCACTCTCTTCAGATCTCAGTCTCTTGAGTTGCTTGGATTATAGGCATGAGCCACAGGTTTCTTTTATATCCCACATCCTAGCACCCTGTCCCTCAGAGATACACAAAATGTCTGGGGAATTATTGCTACTTGAACGACAACACCCGCAAGTTTTAACCTTTCATTTATTACAACCTTCATCTCCATCTGCTTTCTTTTCAGGGCATCACAAAAAAATGTGACGGAGAAGAAATCTTCCTAGGACAATTTGCATATAACAAGACAGAAAACACTGTTCAAACATTTGAACTCCAGGTAACCAGTACCCTGGGAAATAAGTCTGGCTCTATTGCTAAGAGGGATTTCCTGGGTTGGTTGCATGTGAGGTGGTGTGTGAGATTAATTAGGACACATGTTTGTGCTAAGCAAGCCTCAAGAAAACTTCAGTTCTGTGGAATTTATTGCAAAAGATGGACAATTGCAAATGCTGTTTCTCAGGTAAACCTATATGCTATACATTGTTTCTCGGTCCTCTTCCTCCATCTCAATACTGGGATCAAGCCCAGCTCTCTGCACATGCAAGGAGAGTGCTCTACCACTGAACTAGATCACCAGTCCCTCCTCCTTTTATTATTATTATTATTTTGGTCATGGGGCTTGAACTCTGGGCCGGGGCGCTGTCCCTGCATTCTTTAGCTCAAGGAGAGCGCTCTACTGCTTGAGCCACAGCGCCACTTCCGGTTTTCTGAGTGGTTTATTGGAGATGAGTTTCTTGGATTTTCCTGCCTCCTGGGTAGGTAGGATTACGGGCGTGAGCCACCGGCGTCCAGCTATCCTTTATTATTTTTGAGGTTTGGACTCAAAGCCTTGTGCTTGGACGGCAGGTACTCTCCCACTTGAGCCAGGCCTCTTGCCCTTCTTGGTTATAGTTACTATCATGCTTACAAAGTTCTTTCTAGGACCTTGAATTATAGGGTTTCATCCTTTTCCGTGGGCTAACCTGGAACTCAATCCTCCTATATATGTATATAACTGTGTGTGTGTGTGTGTGCGTGTGCGTGTGTGTGTGTGCGCGTGTGTGCGTGTGTGCGCGTGTGTGTGCGTGTGTGTGCGTGTGTGCGTGTGTGTGCGTGTGTGTGTGCGTGTGCGTGTGTGTGCGTGTGTGCGTGTGTGCGTGTGTGTGTGTGCGTGTGTGAGTGTGTGTACCTCCCATGTAGCTAGGATAGCAGTCATCTCAATTCTCAATCTCTTCCTTTGATACTAGTAAGTTTGATAGACACTGTCTCATGTTCCTTGGGTAAAGGAGTTAAAGATGCTGCTACAATGTGGGTAGAGGAAGAGAAATATTTACTACCATATGCTATGAATGCAAGTATGAGAAAATCTGGGTGCTAGTGGCTCATACCTGTAAGCTACTCAGGAGGCTGGAATCTGAGGATTGCGGTTAGAAGCCAGCTTAGGCAGAAAAAGTCCAAGAGACTCTTAACTCCAATTAACTACTCAAAAGCCAAACATAAATAACCATGGCTCAAGTGGTACAGCACTAGTCTTGAGCAAAAGAGCAAAAGACAGTGCCCAGGCCTAGAGAGGTCAAGCCCCAATACTGGTACATGCCTCCTCCCCACCCACATACCAAAAAGAAAAATATAGAAAAGGAAAAAAGAACTTTCCTGGGGCTTGAACTGAGGGGCCTTGCTCTTTCTCAGTGTTCTTGCTCACGACTGGTTTTCTGTAATTTGAACAGCACATGCCTATAAATCTAGCTTCTGAGGAGTCTGAGACCTAGAAGATCATGATTCAAAGTCAGCCAGGGCAGAAAAGCCTGTAAGAGTTGAACCATTAATTTTTAATCTTCCTGAAACCTACTTAGTTATGTGAAATACATTTTCATCATCTCTCATTAGCCACAGGAGGGGAGTGAAGGAAGGTAAAAACCTGAACAAGTATTTGTCACTCCTAGGTTTATATTGAGGAAAAAAACACAAAAAACATTGGTTCATTGTGTGTGTGTGTGTGTGTGTGCTTGCATATATGTCCCAGCATTGGGCTTGAACTCAGGGCCTTGCACTTTCATTTGTATTTTTCATTCAAGGAATGCAATACTACCATCCAAGCCAAACTTCCACTTCCAACTCTTTTGGGGTTAACTGAAGACAAATCTTACAGTCAAGCACTGGTGGTTCATTCTGTAATCCCAGCTACTCAGGAGTCCTGAGATCTGAGGATCATGCTCTGAAGCCAGCCTCCAATTAATTCCCAATTACCTGGCAAAAAGTTGGAAGTGGAACTGTGGCTCAAGTGGTAGAGTGCCAGCTTTAAGATTTAAAGGCTAAGTTAGAATGTGAGGCCCTGAGTTCAAGCCCCAATCCTGGTGTACACACACACACACACACACACACACACACACAGATAGATTTTCCTGCCTGGGCTGGCTTCAAATTGTGATCTTTCATGTCTTTGCCTCCTATGATTACAGACCTGAGCCACCAGCTCCTGGCTGGGCCATTTTATATAAGGGACGTGAGCATCTGTGGATTTTGGTAACAGCCAATGGGGGCCCAAAAGCCCTCCTCCTGGGCAGATACAAGGCATGTTGTCAGAGTAATTGATATAGTTGTGGAGTTTCACCTTTGATTGTATATCTGTATTCATTTAGACTCACATATTTGTTAGGGGTTGTTTATTATTTGTTTGTTTATTATTTGTTTGAGATAGGGTTTCACTATGTAGTGGAGATTAGCCTTGAACTTAAGCAATCCTCCTGTCTCAGCCTTTCCAGAGCTGAGGCTAGAGATATATACCACTATACTTGGTTCATGTATTTGTTTATAAAGTTGGCTTCATAGATATGCTTTTTATTTAAATTACCTTTGGTCTTTAAGTAAATGTACAGAGGAGTTTCGATTTAACATGTTGGTTCAAAAATAGATACGCTTTTCATACAGCAAACTTTCTCCCCCTTTCTCTGGCACAGCCAGCAAACAGCACTGAAGCACGCATATCCAGACCCCATCTTATCTTTCTCCCTCTCTGTTCATGAACTCTTTCCTTCTAGTGGCTTGTTTTCTCATTCACTAGAAAATACTTGTTGTATGTCGGCATTCATTGGGATTGTTGGTGGTGAATTTCTCCATAAGGAATTTAATTTCTCTTCTTTATTTTCAGCAGGAAGCTCCTGAATCTTTACTATGTGTGAAACTCAAGATCCTTAGCAACTGGGGACATCCAAAGTATACTTGTTTGTACCGGTTCAGGGTCCATGGACTTCCCAGTGAAGAGACATAGAGGAGTATAGTGGGTGGTGACAATGCAGCCAGAATATTCCAGGATTCTTATTCCCTTACATCAGGTTGAATCCCTCAGAATCAAAAATTGGAGTTGAAAAAATACCTCAAAGCAGTTCTTACTTGCTAACAAAAAGTGAACAAATTTTACTAATAAAAACACACAAGTAAGTTCAACATCCTTGTGGTAGTTTAATTTGTGAGAATACATTATGCTGTAGTTAGAACAATGAGAAATGTGTGTGTGTGTGTGTGTGTGTGTGTAAAAGAGAGAGAGACACACACACAGAAACAGAGACAAAGAGAGACAAAGAGAGTACTGGGGCTTGAACTTTTGACCTGGAATTCTGCCTTTAGTTTTTTCACTTAAAGCTGGAACTCTACCTCTTGAGACACACTTCTATTTCCAACTTTTGGTTATGAATTGGGGATGACAGTCTCTTGGATTTGTCTGCTTGGGCTGGCTTCAAACTGAGATCCCGAGATCTCAGACTCGAGAGTATCCAGGATTATTGCTGTGCACCACTAGCACTAGTCTTCAGAAATGTTTTTCGTATTTGGGAGAGGATGGTCTTATTCCACGGTTATCATCACCATGACATCTTATTTATCTCCCTTTACCATTGTTGCATGGTCTAGAGGCACTGGACAATGCCATAAGAGAAGAAACAGATAATTTTTAAATTAGAGATAAAACTAGCCAGGAATTCTAGCCATGACTATTTGCAGATAATTTGATGCATTTTATGAAATGCAAGTCTTCTTAAAAAAACTACTAATAACTGCCAGGCATAGTAATCCTAGCCGTTCAGAAGACTAAGATCTGAGAATTGTGGTTTGAAACCAACTAGATCTGACAAATCTGAAAGACTCTTATCTCCAATTGATCAGCAAAAAGCCAGAAGTGGAAGTGTGCTCAAGTTATAGAGAATTAGCCTCAAGTGAGAAAGCTAAGGGATAGTGCCCAGGTCCTGAGTTCAAGCAGTAATGCCAGAATAACAAAATGAAAACAACCCCTCCCCCCAAAAAACCCCCAAAGCCATAGGGTTTTTTTTTTTTTTGAGGTATCTGAAATACTTTGAAGAGTCTTTGGAAATCAGTCTAAGTGGAAACCCATTCCTGATATGAGGAGAGTTCTCAGAAGACATTCACTCATGCTGCTAGAGGGTATGCATTTCCTTTTATATCATTCTCCTGAATAAAAGGCAACATATATTACCTTTCAGATTTGATGCTGAGCCTCTGTGCAGTGCCGGTTTATTTCCCCAGGGAATATTTTTCTTTCCCTGACATTAACTGCTAACAACAGGTCCATAAATAATCACTCCTCTGACCCCAGGGACTGGTGAAGAGAAGCAAGCACTTGAAAGATATCAAGCCAAGTGAAATTTAGGGTGACAGCTAGTGAAGGCATGAGATTTAGCCAGGTGGAGTTTACTATCTCTGCAGCTATAAAGAAGTTATTCTGCTAGCTCCCAACACACACACACACACACACATAATATATATATAATAAATATATATATATGCATGTATGTCTTAACATTTTATTTTGCATTTATGTGTTAGTGTAGTTCATTTTCTAAGACAAGATTAGGGTAGGAAATTGCACTCCCCAACAGGCAAACCTAAGCAACAGTACCAAACACTGGTCCCTCAATCACTGTGTGCCTGAATTATTAATCCCTGAGGTTAATAATTGCTTTAGAAAACTCTGCTGGTTAATTGAAAATCTTAGTTTCAAGAATTTTCCTCCCAGAGCTGGCTTCAAACTGCAATCCTCAGATCTCAGCCTTCTGAGTAGCTGGGATTACAGGGGTGAGCCACTGGTGCCCAGCTAAGCATCCAGTCTTAAATAATTACTCAGTAAACCAGGCGCTGGTGGCTCACGCCTGTGATCTTAGCTACTCAGGAGGCTGAGATCTGAAGATGAAGGTTCAAAGCCAGCCCGGGCAGGAAAGTCCATGAAACTCTTACCTCCAATTAACCACCAGAAAACCAGAAGTGATGCTATGGCTCAAAGTAGTAGAGCGCTAGCCTTGGGCTGAAGAGCTCAGGGACAGCGCCCAGGCGTAGAGTTCAAGCCCCACGACTGACAGAAAGAAAAGAAAAAAAGGAAAAAGAGCTACGTTCAAACTTGAAAATGTTTCAACGGATTTTCACACCTTAAAAGTTGTACCCTGGGGTGGAGACGGGAGTGGGGGGAAAGAATGAGACAGAGGAGGGGGAGAAAGACGGAGGAGATAGAGGAAGGGGAAACAGAAAAGAAAAGAACAGGAAAGGAAATTAGAAAGAAAGGACGAAGAGAAGCAAAGCAAACCAGGCTTTGGGTGCAGAGAGCCGGACGCGGACAGCGTTTGACCCGGAACCTCTGTCCGCGGGACCCAGGCGGAACTACCGTGCGCAGGGCGCGCTTCCGGAGGGGACGCTGAGGGCGCGCGCTGGCGCGTGCGGCGCTGGCGCGTGCGCGTTGGGCGCCTCTGCGCCGTGCGGCC